AGCAATGCAGATTAACAGCTAAAGCAGACCCTCCAAGTGTCCCTATTTTCCAGGGACATCCCTGATTTAGAGAAGCCGTCCCGGTTTCTGATTTGATCCCTGCTTTTCCTTAGGATATCCCTCTTTTCATTGGAGAAATGCTGGAGGGTAGGGAGTTATCTGTCCCCCAAGTCACTGGAAGGCAATCCTGTATAAGGAAGGTTTTTTTCCAATGCTTAATGTTTTATTATGTTTTTATATATGTTGGAAGCTGCCCAGAGTGGCTGGGACAACCCAGTGAGATGTGTGGGGTATAAATGGTAAAATTATCCTTATGGAATGGGACACCTCTATTATCATCGGAGAAATGTTGGAGGGTATGATAAAGGGAACCCCTACCCTGTAATAGTATTAAGTGCAGGGTTTAAAATTACTTAACTGAAGTACCGTATGTTTGATTCAGTTTAGCCAGCCATGTTTTTGTGGTGTGGTTTTATAGATTTTCAGCTGCCTTGGGTTTCTTGTTTTAAGGTAAAAAGGCAGAATAATGCCAGTATTGATAATATAGGAATGAGAACCCCTAGCATTTAGGGCAAAACCCCCAGCATGTGTGGACCAGTCGTGGTTGGGAGGCATCTTAGTTTTCTACATGCACTGCCCAAATGACTAAAGCAAATGCTGGACACAGTAGCTGCTGGAGGTCAATGGGTTTTGTGAGCTTTAAATGAGACTAACCAATGGTGGGTCACCCCAGACCATGAGTATCTACTTTCGCATGTACATAAGCAGAGTGTAATTCTGCAGATTTAGTTAAGCGAAAAAGTAATGTTTTCACTAGTTGGAAATGAAGTCAGAGTTCTGACTTCCCTGCAAAATGTCAATCTCATTTCAAAAGAGTTTTGCAAGGACTGGATTTCACCGTAGAACATGAACTGTGCATATATATATATATATATATATATATATATATATATAGTGTTACATATTACAGATGCCACATTTAGACCTTATAATAGAGTAATTTAAGTCACTGCAGCAAAAGAAATCCTCAACAGTCCCCAGGTTTTTACTATTTCATATCAGAAGAGAGAGCAGAAAATTTGTAGAAGATCAAATGACAAATCCACAAAGAAAGACACTAAAGCGATGGAAATTGCTCTGTAAAAATAGTAATGGTTCAAATTAGGTGCCTGAGCTTCCGCTCGGCTCCCGAGAGCTATAAATAATTCAGCTCACCCAAACGAGAGGCGTTCTGCAGGCGTGTGGTGGAGGATTCCAGCCTTTTCCCCATACACCCTGCATTGCCACACAACATTTGTCTGATGAAAGTGCAGCTTTACGCCACAAGCCAGATAAAACTGGCTTCGTCTTACTCTACCCTGTAGTTGTTATTGCTGGATCAATGAGACATTCTCACAAGAGGAAAACGTAGCAAAATTATGTGAAAAGAAAAGTCGCCGCTACCAAGCTTAACGTTCTTTAGTTTTCTGAGGGCTGGGCCAGAAGATCTTTTCCTGCCTGGGGGAAAGGAGAAGTTGGTGTCCACACCCAATTCCACGTACGGAAGCTGATCTGACTGGCAGGGGGCTCTAATTTCAGTACTGATGATGGGGCAGTTTCCTCTTGAGAGCAACAAGCCGGCTTAGGGCAGGGCTGGGGGACCTGCATACCCTCCAACATTTCTCTGATGAATATAGGCATGTCCTATTCCATCATCAAGGGACATGGGTGGCGCTGTGGGTTAAACCACAGAGCCTAGGGCTTGCCAATCAGAAGGTCAGCAGTTCGAATCCCCGCAAGGGGTGAGCTCCCGTTGCTTGGTCCCTGCTCCTGCCAACCTAGCAGTTCGAAAGCATGCCAAAGTGCAAGTAGATAAATAGGTACCACTTCGGTGGGAAGGTAAACGGCGTTTCCATGCATTGCTCTGGTTCGCCAGAAGCAGCTTAGTCATGCTGGCCACATGACCTGGAAGCTGTACGCTGCTCCCTCGGCCAATAAAGTGAGATGAGCGCCGCAACCCCAGAGTTGGCCGCAACTGGACCTAATGGTCAGGGGTTCCTTTACCTATTCCATCACCATCATCATCATTTTACTATTTATACCCCACCCATCTGACTGGGTTGTTCCAGCCACTTTGGGAGGCTTCCAACACAGGGGCAGAAAATAAGCTAACTCACTTTGACATTTATTCACAAGTGAGTCCTCATGATATTCACGGAAGTCACTTTTTATAAAGAACAGCTCAGATGTGAGTGTTCATCGCTTGGGGAGGCTGATTGTGGGAATGGGTCATTACAGATCAAACCTCACAGACAGAATGCTCATATTTCCTGATGGCATCTCAAATCATTACATTTGACAAGTCATGAATGATGGGAGTTAATGAAGTCATGGACTATGGGAGTTGTAGTCCAGCAACATCCAGAGGGTGCCATAGGATGAATATAAAAATGTCCACACTGGGAATGTTCTGTGCAATTCAATACCTACTATTGCTGTGCTCTGGTAATTGTAATATTTTATTATTCTGTGGGTTTTTAACTGTTTTGTTCTTCATGGTTCTAATTTGCCCTTAGGGGCTTTCATGTTTCTGTGTTTGTGTGGGGGGGGGGGGAGGGAGAGAATAGCAAAAACCTCATTTGTTGGAGGATGCAGTCTACGTACTCTGCAACATACTCAACCTATTCATTAATTGAGCCTCATTTCAACAAAAGCCGCAGAAAACAAAAACCTTTCCCCCCTCCGATTATGTGTCAAGAAATAACTGACCTCTGGTCAGCAGACAATAAACTCTTACATCAATAAATAGCACTATGTCCTTGATATTCTCCGCCTCAAAATGGACTGAATATCTAATAATAAGGTTTCGGAACTGACTTAGAGGAAGTGAAAGGCAGGTGGGGGGGGAGAGAGAAGGATCTCAACATGATTGAAATTCCAGCACACCCATTAACACCCATTCCAAAATTAAGGAATGGAGTCATTTCATTTCCCCTGCTCCTTCTTTAATCACTAGTCTGTTGATAACCTTTATAATTGTCCATCCTCACAGGTTTGTATTGGCAGAAATCAATGAGCTGACAACTTGGGAGAGGGATATTAATTCAACTGGGGTGGCAGCATTTTTTAATTGTGGAAAAGTAAACCAAATAAGAGTGGCAAGCAACCTTAGATGGATCTCTAAGACTGTGTAATCAGTGGGGGGGGGGATATGCAAGTTCTGCACCTACCACATGAAACCCCAAAGTCCCACCAAGTCTTTTGCTATGTCATTTACACAGATGCCTAGATAGGCCTTGAGGAAGCTGACATCAGGAAGATGCTGCAATCTTTGAAAAATTGGTTTTAAATACTTGAAAAAAGCTGGCTTGTGCATCTTTGTTACTGATTTTTTTAAAAAATGAACGTTCGCTAATGACTTTTTAACTCTAGTCGATATGAACTTAAATGATTGAAAATGGGCTAGGTTTGCTCCTCCTTGTAGATCTATCCAGAGATGTTGCACTGTGTCAAAGCATGGGGACCCTCAGGTTCAGGGGCCAAATGTGGCCCTCCAGAGCTCTCTGCCTGGCCCTTTATTCTCTCCCTAGGCCCCCTCTATTAGCCCCACCTCCAACAGCTCCATGTCCTCCTCAGGCGATGCTGCTTGGCTGGAATGTATTATTGAACTGTGGTTGCCTGGATGGAGAAGTGTGAATATGTGTATCTCAGGTCTGTAGCTCCACCCACTTTTGCCTCTGGCCACACCCACTTTTGACATCTGACAACCTTACACTGGGATGTAGTGCTTGGAAGGTTGGCCAAGAAGGAATGAAACCCTTGAGATGAAAAAAGTTCCCCACCTCCACACTACATCTTTCTGTACAATTCATCATTCAATGGATGCCCCTAACCTAGCCGTACTTCTGCCTTTCTTTTCGCTAGTACGCCACCTTGTATTGGGGTCATTCAGATTTCGGGTCATCTCCCCCACTGCCTCTCCCATGTATCCTGTTGCTCCTTTTACTATGAAAATCATTCAGGAAATTATCCCAGATCTTTGGTATGGATGATGAGAGGGACCAAGCACAGAGAGAGAAAGGAAGGAAAGGAAGCAAAGGGGATGGAGGTAGTAAAGAAGAACAGGAGGAGAGGGAGGGAGGGAGAGAGGGAGGGAGGTGTCCAGTTGTAGAGTCACAACACACCAGACAACCTTTGAGCTTATGGGTAAATGGATTTTCATTCTCAGCCTCCAACCTCTTCCACCCCATATGCGTGGAGGAGAAGTTTTCTTGCAAGGAGATATCTGGTGACATAGGGTAGCTTCTGATGACAATGTATGAAGCATCTTATTTTGATGAACATGAACATAGCAAGAGGCACCACCCCTCAACATGACCAACGCTCCTTCAGAATTCCCCACCTCTCCTCCACAATGGCTTCTTTACCCCCATTGTTTTTCATGGACAAAATGGCGGCAACAACAACAAAATCTCCACCAAAGTTCCTCCTGCACAATCACCCCAAAGTTCAACCAACCACAAAGGCCTGTATCTCCTCTCACCCAACGCTACCCACAATGCCTTCCATCCAGCCCGTGGGTGGAAAATCTCCTGCTGTTCCATAGGCAAGGGGGAAACACTCGCAGAACAAAATCCAGCCCATGAGACTCAGAGAACAGACACATTTTCCTCATACATCCACAAGTCTTGATGCCTTGAGTCACAAACACAGAGAGGATGAGTTGGCAGATGATCACATTGCAATGTTTGAATTGGTTTTCCTTTTTTAAAAAAACGAAAAGAAAACAAAAGGAGAGGGGGAGTTATACACACATGTATCACAGCATTTTAGCGAGGTGTTCTCTTGTGTTTTTCCCGCTAGCAGTTCAGCTCTCTCTGTTACGCCTGGATGTAAGGCAGCTGGGAGTTGAAAGCAGCATCCATGGAGCGTCCTTGGTCGCAGTTGTGTTCCGCAAGGTTCTTGATAATTTGCCTTGTTGCTTAAAGTTTAGCAAGGAAAGGGAACCTTTTAAAAAAAGATGTTCTCGTTCACCCCCTTTTATTGGTAAGTCAGACAAAATTAACAGGCAAGATTTTTGTTGCTGTTGTTTAAAAAGAGGAGAGTGTGCAGGAAAAAGGGAGGGATTCTGAAGATGGCCTTGAGGAGGTTACATTTTAGAGAGAGGTAACACAAATGTTTGATTTCTGTTTCCCCAATTTGCAACAGGCAAGATTGTGTGTGTGTGTGTGTGTGTGTGTGTGTGAGCTTCCTATACAAACTCAGTTATCACATATCCCAAGAAACATCCCTTTCCCAAGCCCTACTGTAACCCACCCCTAACCAGCAGTAGTCAGATGAAACAATATGTTCACTTGACTTTTGGAACTGGGATGTGTTTTTGTTTGTTTTTAAAGAACTAGATGGAAGAGCAATGGTGCAGAAAAGCTATTTCCACCTCCAGGAGAAAGAACAAGAGCGATACAAAGTCTGTAGAGGAGACGTAGGCGCCATATTGGACTCCACTCTACATTGGCACTGGCATCCGTTTGAGATCTATATATGATATATGTTTATGTATATATATATATATTTATAATATGTATATTGGTAGGTTTGTTTGTGTCTGTTTTAGCACACTGTCCCATTCTCAGGTCTCGATTTGGGGCAGTTGGTCCTGGGGACAGGTTGAACAGAAGGGGCCAAGGTGCAGAAGAAGCCGGAGATCAGAGTGAGACCCAGGCCTCCCCATGCGCAAAACATGGACCAGCCGTAGCCATGGCTGATGTCGTCTGGAAGTCCATACAGGTACCGGGGGTATCGGGAGAGCTCAAAGTTGATCCCAGCCACGCAGGTGCACAGCGAAATGATGCAGAAGGTTCCTGCAGAAGGAGAAGAAAAGGAGAAGAGGGAAAAGAAGGAAGGAAGGAAGGAAGGAAGGAAGGAAGGAAGGAAGGAAGGAAGGGGAAAGAGAAGGATGGAGATGGGTTAGATTATAAAAAGCAATCAGGTTAATCTGAACTGTCTTGGTTTGTTATTTTTCTCTCTTTATGTGTCTTCTACTCTCAGTTATTTTTTACCCCTTTTCCTGAACCTGCAATATAAAACAGATTTTTGTTGTTGTTGCTATACTTACCTGCTATGATCCCTGAAGATTACCATATACATTTTTTAAAAAATATTTGCTTAGTGGTTGTTCTTTGTTTGTATTTGTTGTTTCTTCATTCCTTATTATGACACAACGGTTTGACTTGGTTATGCCAATTACTGTTATTAAGCAATTGATTCGATGTTTAGGATGTATTGAAAATCTATAAAAATGTACCAAAAAGTAAAGAGCAATCGGTTGTCCACCGTGTGAAAAAAGAAGGGAGTTGGGTGAAGCGGCTTGGGAAACCACACCAGTGTGGAATAGCGGTTAAAGTGTTGAACTACATGGGAGACCAGGGTTCAAATCCCCACTTGGCCATGAAGCTCACTGGGTGACCTTGGACCAGTTACAAGTCACATTCACACATAATTTAAAGCACATTCAACACAAAATGGCTCCTCCCAAAGAATCCTGGGAAAACTGCAGTTTGCCCCTCACAGGGCTATAGTTGCTATCACCCTTAACAAACACAGTTCCCAGGAATCTTTGGGGGAAGCCATGCACTTTAAATATATGGACTGCATGTGACGACAATCTAAAATACTTCTTTGAGGTTGTTGTGAGGATACCATGGAGACAGGGGTGAGCCATGTAGGCCACCTTGAGATCCTTGGATGGAAATAAGATATAAATGTAATAATGAACAAAGAAAGAAACAAACAAACACAGAATTTCACTGCAGAAACCCACTAAGATCAGTGAGGTTGATTGACAAAAGGCACAGAGCCTTCTCTGTGGTGGCCCCACAGCTCTGGTGCTCTGTACTAGTGGATCTCTGGAAGGCTGTCATACTTTGGTCATCCCAGAAGGCCATGGAGCAGTAGCGGTGGTTAGCCAGTCCCTGGCTACAGAAGCAGGGTTGGATTACCCTTTGCCCCATTCCCAGTCCCAATTTATGACAATCCCTGACTCTAGCAAGTGGCACTCTACACTAAGCATGCCAGAGGAACTGAGAATAAATATTAAGAACTGGCTGAATGGGGCAGAAGGTGGAATCCTTGAACAGGGGAGGGAGATAAACTTTGTTTCCTGGTTGCAAGTGTTTTGCCTTTTGTGAGCTATGTAAACCCCTAATCTATGAGGCTCTGCTTGGCTGGCTGTTATTTCCCAAATTTAATTTTCACTTGTGGTCCATCCTAGCAAATGAAATTGTAAGTCAACAAAAATATGATTCAGAGATGCTTAGACTAGTAGCTAGAAGTTCTGACTCCAGGCTCCAGAGACCTGCCTAATTCTCTGCTCCCTGTTGATAGTCTGGGTACATCAGTTTTGCTGTGATAAGGTCCGTTGCTTTGTGACTCTGCTCCTAAATGAGAATGCCAGCTCTTTTTCTATCCCCAAAGAGTGGAGGCTGGGATTCCTTTCAATTCCAATTCCCCCAAAGATTTTAGTGAAGGATTGCAGCAAGTAAAATATAAGAAGGAGATAAGGAGCTCTCTTATTAAACCAAGTCAGAATTTCCCCCCATCTGCGGTATACATTCAAAGCGGTATCATAGCACTTTAAACAGTCTTCGCTTCCCCCCATGAATCCTGGGAACTGTAGTTTGTTGAGAGTGCTGAGAGTTGTCTGGATACCCCCTTTGCAGAGCTACAATTCTCAGAGTACCTTGGGAAGAGGAATTGGTTGTTAAACTACTCTGGGAACTGAAACCAATGGACAAGTCAGGTCGACTGATTTCAGCAGGCCTGCTCTGAAGAGGAATGTGTTTCACCCTAGACTTGTTTACGGAGTTTTAATTCCAGTTTCTTTATGGGGAGGTTATGTGATGTCGTGTCAAGCAATTATCTCAAGTGTTGGCTCGGTTGGTAGAGCATGAGATTCTTCATCTCCGGGTCATGGGTTTGATCTCCACATAGGGCAAAAGATTCCTGCATTGTCGAAGTTTGGATTAGATGACCCTCGTGGTCCCTTCCAACTCTACAATTCTGTGATTCTAATTGTTATACCACACTTTCCAGTGCATTTTTCCATCTCTTTCTTTACTGAAAAAGTCCAATTTTGCTGGATCTGTCTGTCTGTCTGTCTGTCCGTCTGTCCGTCTGTCCCGTCTGTCGTCTGTCCGTCTGTCCGTCTGTCTATCTGTCTGTCTGTCTGTCCATCTGTCCATCTGTTTACAGCGGTACCTCAGGTTACATATGCTTCAGGTTACAGACTCCACTAACCCAGAAATAGTACCTCGGGTTAAGAACTTTGCTTCAGGATGAGAACAGAAATTGTGCTCCAGTGGTGCGGCGGCAGTGGGAGGCCCCATTAGCTAAAGTGGTGCTTCAGGTTAAGAACAGTTTCAGGTTAAGAACGGACCTCTGGAACGAATTAAGTTCTTAACCCGAGGTACCACTGTATTTGTCTGTCTGTCTGGTTTTGAATGCTCCTGTATATATTCCAACAGGTAGACCCAATGCTCCTTCACTAACCAGTTTCTATCCGCGCTCTCCAGCCCCCAAATATGTGCAAGGCAATCCAACATTGTGCACATGGACCTGGCCCAAGAAATTCAGCATCCTTATTAGCTACTTAAATTATTCCGCAGCCTTATCAAAATTATTGAAGAATAAAACTCCACTCCCTCCCTGCTGCGTGGTGACAAGGCCCATTCTGCCAGAGCAGCTCTGAAGCAAGCGCCTTCTGTGTGCGGATTAAACGCCTCAGCAGCACAAGGCTCTCGAGAGCGCTTCATTGTTTGGCACGCACTTGCATGGAATATAAATGATTGTTTAATTACACACTGTAGCCTCATCATCGGCTAACAGACGGGCGTGTGGCAGATAGGGTTTAGTTTAAATGCCTTGGAAAAGGGGAAGCGGCCTGATTGGCTGATGCAGGGACTGTGCTATGTGAGATCACAAATCCTCCTGGATTAGAATATAGACACACACACACAACTCTAGGAGCCAGAATCACAATAGACTGACCGAGATTGTTTTAGTATGGTGAATTTGGGCCAGTTCAACACAGGTTCCCCAGCAACAAGAGCAGCTGTGTGCCTCCCTTAGCCAAGCACACACTGCAAAATCATGTGTGGAAACCTTTGTGTGACCAATGCTGTGTCTGTTTCCATGTTTGTGGCAGCGGAGAGGGTGAGGGGAAAACTGAGAAGGCAAAAATGGCTGCTTGCTGTCTTGCTAAAACAGCTTGGCAGATGGTAATCTGGACCTGTACAAGGTGTGATTCTCTAAAGCTTGCCGCTATTGTGTGGCTGTCCATCAAGCCTCCTAGCTTTGCTGCCTGTCTCAGTACTGAACAAACAGGGTGTGTGTGAGAGAGGAGAAGGAGGGTTGTATCACGGTGGAAGAAAATCTGCTTGGCATGTAGAAGGTCCCAGGTTCAATCTATGGCACCTCCAGTTAGGGCTGGAAAAGACCCCCATCTGAATCCCTGGAAAGCCACTGCCAGTCAGTTTAGACTGGGGGTGGGGAACCTAAGGCCTGGGGGCCAAATACAGCCCTTCAAATCTCTATGTCTGACCTGTCTGAGACACTCGCTAGTCCATGCCACCTGCCCAGCCAAGCCTCCTATAGACTCAGCTTTCATACCCTCCAAAATTTCTGCAATGAAAACAGGGACATTCTATTCCATGCCCTCCAATATTTCTCCAATGAAAATAGGGACGTCCTATTCCATACCCGTTGTCAGAGCTGGCTCCAGGTCCCAGCTCACAGAGGACCAATGCTAGCTGGTAGTAATGTACAAAAGTCTTTATTGAAGTACAGTTTCCATTTTCAAGCCGCAGCGCCCAGCTCTACGTCTTAGAGGCTAGACCGGCGAAGCTCCATCTGAGTCTCCACCCCCTGTACACCAACTTAAGACTCTAACCTTACTCCACCTCTTCCGTCTCTCCTTTCTCCTCTGGGTCCTTCTGCCCCCGGGGTCTCCTCCTTTCTGGACTCTTCTGACGCTGACCCCCCTGACTCCTCCCCCTCTTTTCGGCGGGCTTTGGGACCTGGCTCCCTATCCGGGCTGCCAACTGCGCCGCCCTCCTGTACATTTGAACTTGGCGCGCGCGCCCAGCCTTCAACCTTCCTCTTGACCGTTTCCTCGCTCTCCGATGGAGGCGTGGCCAACCCTGACTCCTCTCCTCCCGCTGGCGGTGAGCCTCCTGATCCCGATACCTGGGACTCCTCCCCCCTACTGCGCTCTGGTGGGGAAGCTGGTCCTGTTTTCCAACTGCTGCTTTCTGAGTCCCCTCTGGCCCCTTCTTCCTGGGGTGTCCCCCTAGGCACCCCCCTTGCTCTGACCATGGGAGCCCCTTTCTGTGAATCTTCCGATTCGCTGGAAAGACTCAGAGACCTCGGACCGCTGTCATCGCTAACATTTCCTTCGGATTCCTCCCCCTCGCTCTCTATTTCCTCCCTTTCCTGTGCCTCTGCTCCTGAGCCCCTGACACCCGTCAATATTTTTCTGATGAAATTTGAGACGGGGAAATTTGAGACCCCACGACGGGGTGAGCTCCCATTGCTTGGTCCCAGCTCCTGCCAACCTAGCAGTTCGAAAGCACATCAAAGTGCAAGTAGATAAATAGGTACAGCTCTGGCGGGAAGGTAAACGCCATTTCTGTGTGCTGCTCTGGCTTGCCAGAAGCGGCTTAGTCATGCTGGCCACATGACCCGGAAGCTGTACGCCGGCTCCCTCGGCCAATACAGCGAGATGAGTGCCGCAACCCCAGAGTCGGCCACGACTGGACCTAATGGTCAGGGGTCCCTTTACCTTTACCCGTCAATATTTTTCTGA